TTTAAAAATAACTTTTTTTCTTCATCAAATCAGTTAAAAGTAAAATTTTTTTCTTCAATTCTAAACAAATGAAATAGCTTAATATTTAAATATTACATTTAAAACAATTACAGTTCATAAAATTTCAGATTCTTTTTTTTTTGGGAAAAAACAATTATTACCAAATGAAATTTGTTCAAATGGATTAATATAATAGTTAATATGAAATGAATTTCAGAGCAGTAAGAGATTTCTTATTATCACCTGAAATGCGAGGTAAATTAGACGGTTTTATAACGCTTCATACGTATGCACAATTATGGATACATCCATACAGTCATAAAGTGGAATCATTTCCTGATAATTATGCACAATTGGTCAATTAACTATTTCTATTATTTACTTCTAACTTCATTTTTTATCCTCTAATATGTGTTATGTTTGCTTTATGATAAGAAAAACGAACTTAACATAAAGTTTATTTTTCATAATTATCACTGCAAAAATAATGGTCTATTTGTCCTACACATATTTAATTTTATATAAATTTAAAACTTCTTAAATAAATAGTTGCAAAAGTTTTTCTTTTGTAACTTTTTTTTTTTTGAAATATTTTCAGAAGCGTACAGCAAAACGTGCAGTTAGTCGGTTAAAAAAAATTTATGGAACACAGTATAGAATTGGTACTGGTGCTGATATTTTAGGTTGATTCATTATCAGTATTAATAGTCTAAGGGAAAATTTAATTTCAAATTAAATGAAGAAAAATTTTTACGAACTTTTATTTGCTCAGTTATTTCAATTTCTGATGTAAAATATTGAATAATTAATTGTGAAAAAATTTTCAGCACCAGCATCTGGTGGTTCAGATGATTGGGCTAAAGAGGTACTTGGAGTAAAATTTGTTTATTTGGTAGAGCTTCGACCTCAATTGGAATGTATGTTAATCGTTTTACCAATTTATCGTACAATTAAATGTTAATTCAAATTTAAAAATTTAAATGTAGAAATTTGGCCCTTTTTTATCATAAACAAAGCAAACAAAAAGAAAATGCTTCAAAAAAAGTAAAATTAATGCATTCAAATTTGTATTTTACATAAAGAAAATCAAAGTTACAATTTATTTGACTGTACTAATCGTTAAATTTGCTATAATTCATAAAATCCAAAGAATTTATTGCAAATAAAGAAACGTTTCATTTTTAAAAATTTGAATTTTCAGTATTAAATGGATTTATTTTAAATAAAAACGAACTGATTCCAACAGCTGTTGAAACTTGGGAAGGTGTCCGAACAGTTATAGATGATGCCATCCGCGCTAATGATTTATTAACTGCAAGTTTAAAACCGATAACCAGTGAATCGCTTTCTGTGTTAGGCCGATTTATAAAGCAAAAAATACGTCAGTTTCTCTTTTTTTTCCTTCTCGAATTTTATCTTTATTTTATGTAATTGAATTCAAATTCATTTCTAATTGTTATTGTGACAGTAATAGTTGTTATGTCTTTCAATTTAAATTTGCTTTTTTTTTCACCATTCAATTACTTTTACTACTTTTTCGTCTTTCTCTCTTTGTTTTTTTTTCAGAACCTTTTTTGTTGTAAGAAATTGAATTCAAATTCATTTTAAATTTTGATTATAATAATAGTAGCAACGATAGTAGTAGTAGTAGTAGTAGGAATAGTAATAGTAATAGTAGTAATTTCTTATATTCATCATTTAATTATTTAAAAATAATAATTACTGCTATTTTTTCCGTTTATTGAAAAAAATTATTTCAGCATTTAATAAAGGAAGCAAAATTCAACAAAGTGATGGAATTTCTCGTATGTTAGCTGGTCTAAAGATTACACCTGACTTTTCAATCATTAATAACAACGTGCGCTCAAGATCAATCGGTTCAGCTGTTTATTTTCAAAATGGTACCATTACATCGATACAATCAAATTCTACGAATAAAATTGATAATACTACCAAAACTATCAATAATAATCAGACTAATTCATTGATAAGAAATATCGTACAACCAATTATTAATTCTAATCATGAAACGATAAGTAATCAATTAAAATTATCAAATCAAACACATCAAATTACATCACCCGTAACAATTTATTCCTCATCATTTGTAATTCATCGTTTCGATAATAGCAGTCGTAGAGAACAATTTTTTAATTCAAATTGTAAAGATAATCGAAATTCATGCAAATCTTGGTTACGAAGTAATCCAAAAATATGCATGGAAAAGTATCAATTAATGAAAATACAATGCATGCGAACTTGTGAATATTGCGTTTACTTCGACAACTGATAAATTATTCAAAAATTTTGAATTCAAAAAGCAAATTTTTTTTTTTGCTTTTTTAGTTTAATTGATGAAAATGTAATATTTGGCTTCTTGTGCACATTGCATTTATTGAGGTTAATTAATGAAATTATGAAAATTTTTTAATCTTTTAAGATTAAAAATTTTTTAATCTCCTAAGATTAGTTTATTTTTTTATCATTTTTAGTCCGGAAAATTTAGTCGAATTAGGAAAACAATTTTTTTCCAACATGTTGTCTGTTTTCATCATCTTTTTTTGTCTCTTTTTTGCTTTTAATTTCAAAAATTTAACAAAATCACGGGTAGTAATTTAAGGAATTTTGCAATTTGTATATAACTACCGATATTTAGTTAAAACAAAAATAAAATTTTTTAAATCGTTATGGCATATTGCATTATTTGGATGAATTATTCTCAGCAAACTGCCATATGTATTTGTAAATGATATTGTCAATCTCGATGATGTCTAATAAAACGGAAAGAAAGGAGAATGGAATTACTGTTTTAATATGAAGTGAATAACAAATGTGTGTACATATAATGAAATTAAAAAGCTAAATCAATCAGGCAGAACACGTAAATTGTGCTTATTTGTTATGAAAATGTTGTTGTAAAATGATAAGAAGTGGTGAAATCAGAAATCAATAATGAATGTAATAATTGGAAATGAATAGATGAAGAATGAAATGAAAAAGAATGAAAATACAAAAGGATATAAATATTACGCAAATCTCATATAATTTTAAGCAATATTTTTCGCTGTATTATTATCATTCTCGTACATTAAACCAAGTAGCTTTAGTGAAATTTCAAAATTTTCTTTTTTATAAAACTGTAGAAGAATTTTAAAAATTGGGAAACTATTGCTGCTAATCAAAATAAGCATCTCATTTAAAATAAAACATTTTAATTATTAAATACCTATTTACGCATCTTTCCCACAACAACAACTTTTTCAGCAATTTTAATTTTTTTTATTACAAAGGATACAACAATTACATAAAATTTTCTAATTGTGATATGAAAATTCGTATAATTCCCATTAATGATATGAAAAATACGTGAATTGATGCAATTTATTATTAATACAAAGATTGGTTAACATTAATAATCAAAAATGAATTGGAAATTATATAATTTTAGAGTTGGTAAAAATAACGAAGTAGTGCTAACACGGAATGGTGACGTGGAATGAATGCTTTACGGGTTACATACTTCTTTACATTCCATAGTTCTCAACATTCTATATGGCAATGCAAAGAAGTACGTTGCCAACGTAAAAGCAACATGTATTTTTACGTTATCAAGCGTAACGGGCAAATCAGGATTGTATATTAAAGTGGAAATCTCACGTGAAAACCATTTGATGAATTATTATAGACTTTAGCGTTTTAGGATAAAAATAAATTGAAAAAGAATCAATTTCTAGCGAATGATTTGAATGTTTTTTTTTTTATTATTAATACAATGATTGATTAATATGAATGTTTTAGATTAGTGCTGCAAACTTGAATATTAAAATTTATGAAAAAAAAAAAATAAACAGAAGTAAATATAGAAAATATATGTTTTTAGGTTAAAGAGAAAATACGGGTTCAAATGTATTTTTTGGAATATTTCTAAAGATTTAATTTTAAAGATTTCAAGTTTTTTTTTGAGAAACAATATTCATGTTAAAATAAGCTTTCGAGGATTGCAATTTATGAAAATTCTTATTGTATTCGTTTTTTTTGCTTCATTTTTACAACAATTTCAAGATATTTTTAAGAATTTAAATAAAATTTCAAATTTTCATTTTTCCTACCAAAAATGATGAGGCGTTGTCTCTAATATAACATCAAAGAATAATATATTTGATTTTTAAAAAGCTTTTGTTAAAATTACATACCGTAATTTAGATTATATTTGCGATAAAAAACCTGAAATATGTATACATAGTGATAGCAACATTATTACCTGTCCCAAATACATTTTTTGTTTTTTGATAATTGTAGGGAATTAAGAAAATTTAATTGTAAGTGTCGAAATTTGTTGCCAAAATTTATCATTTAAATACTAAAATAATTGGAATACGAAAATATAAAATATAATACACGAAAAGTTTGAAAAAAAAACGAAAAATTAAGCATAGCAAATATGAATGAAAGTGATAATTTTTTTAATTAATAAATTTCTCAAAATTTAAAAATTAGCATTTCTCTTTTTTTTTGCTCAACTTTTCACATTTATAAATATCATTACAAAAATATTGATTAGGAAAAATTGTAAAAAGATGTTTAGTATGTTAAAATGTTTGTGAACAACTATTAGTAATGAATTTTCCTACAAATAAGTTTTATTTTTCCAAAAAAAAAGTTTTTCCCTCTTCTTCATTAATAAAAACTGTTTATCAGTTTATTTTATTTACGATTATAATACTAATAATTCGTCTCTATTACACACTTAATAAAATTTCATATCTGATATTATCCCATCATTATTATTATCATCATCATTATCATCAGCACTATCATCATTGTTATCATTGTTACTAATGTTATCGTAATATTCATTTTTGATAAGCATAATAAATGTATGAAGGAAAAAGCACCGGTAACAGATCTTTCGGAAATTTTTTAGCGAATTCTGCTATTAGTTAGTAAGGAGGAAATGCGAGAGAGATATTACTCATTGAAAATATTCATATATAATTTAAAATTTTTTCTTCAAATAAAAAAGAAAATTTGTGATGAATGATGTGAAAAAGAAGACAAAGAAAGAAGTGAATATGTAAATTATTTAATATTGATGAACTTATATAACCAATACTCAAATTTAATAATTAAATTGAAACTATTCCTTGTAACAAATTGATGTAGTCAAATATTTATGGTTTTTTTTAAAGCAATTTGCTTATTATTTATTGTCTCTTGCTTTCGCTACCAAGTAATTAATCTGATTTTAGATGAAAATTTGCGAATAAGCAATCGACTATCATCTGTTATTCATTCTGATATAACTTTTTTTTTTCATTTTTTAATTTTATTTTTTGTTCCAGTGCGAATATAACTAGATTGTTGCAATAATGATTCACTGTTAAAATATAAATTCCGATCAAATGTGAAAATTCAAATTTTACACATTATTTTAAATTCAAGGCAAAAATTTTATTCTTTTTCTAATTAAATCGAGATAAAAAAAAGCAAAAAACAATAATTAAGCAATCGATTATTCAATGTTAAAATACATATTTTTCATTTTTACTATTTGAAATGTATTTTCGTTCACATTTTTATTCTATTTTTTCAAAAGAAAACAAGCGAAACACATTTTTAAATTTTTTTCACATAAATTAAAATACTAAAAACTTTCGAAATTTTCATAAATTCAAATGATTTTTTAATCAACTTTATCTGAAATAACAGAATAAAATGTTTGCATCAAAATATTAGCAGGGAACCCATTGGGATAACAGTGAGGAAATCAAAGAACAAATCGATACATTTCGAAATTCGATGTAAACAAAATGTCTAATGAAGGTGATTTATTAGAAGTGTAAGAAAGTATCTAACAATAACAAACAAATAATATAGTGGAAGTAATAAAGAGGAATATTCATTTCAATTTTTAGAATTATAAAATAATCAAGAAATATTGGTCCTGATAGTGATATAATTTGATATTTTAGCATTTTATAAATTGCCCCATATGGCTTGCTCATTTTTTTTCCTAAAATTGAATTATTTAAAAAAAAAGTGCAAATTTGATGGCAGAATACTTGGATTTGTTCAAAAAGGACCACGTACTGATTACACTCAGGAAATGTGAGGTGAAGATATCATAAAGCAAGCAATTAAATGAATAACCTAATTATAACAAATCTTTGATTAGTCTATATATTTTAATTTTAAGCTTTGAATTGGTCATTTAAAGTGCAAAAAGGAAGTTTAATTTTTGTAGTCGCAAAAAGGCACTTTTTATACAATTATGAAATGTTAACTGATGATAGCTGATAAGGATGATGCTGATAAAATTGATAATAATTGTCCAGTTGATTATATGTAATATCAATATTTCGTTATAATGCATAAAAATACCATCAAAATTACAAACATTTATAATTAAATCAAATTAAATCAAATCAAATAATTCACAGCGCAAAATTATCCTCAAGCAATTAAATTTCTTTCTATACTAATTAAAACAAAAAACAGTGTATATAATTGTTAATTAGAAGAAAAAAAAGGAGAATACTCACAACTGTTAATAGCAAAAAAAAAAATTAATAACAATGAAATT